AAAAGCCCCAAAAAATATACTTTAAAAAAAAAAAATATTACCATCCACATCTTCACACCACATCACAGTGTGATTTGATCACTTAGCTTTAATCAAGAACACAGAAAACTGTTTTTCAGAGTTTGGGTCAGTAAACCACACTGTTTATGCTCTTGAGTGAAGCCAGACAGAAAGGCATTGATCATAGGAGCAGCTGTGTTTCTGCAGCCTTTTTCTTCAGAATTATTGACACTAACAACACCTCAAAGCTGAGGTGGATTCTGCTAATGGTCAGCCATGCTGTGATTTGTGGTTTGATGTTTTGAAGCCTGCATGGAAGTAATGAGAGTGCATCACAGCCTCAACTATCAGTGATGTCCCTCCTTCTCCCTCCACTGCATCGCAAACCCACCAAATCCTCCACCCATCATTTCAACAAACACACTGCAGCGTAGAATCTCTGTGCAATACAACACACAAAGGATCATCCCCACCAACTACTCTCCATCGTGCATCAGAGGACTACTTACCCCCTCCACCCGGTGGTACGGCCCGGCAGAGTCCTCCAGGTCCAAGAGGACACCATTGAGGGCCCAGGTGAAGGTCAGGTCCATGGTGGGGTCGTGGGAGGCATGACACTGCAGCGTCACATTCTCCCCCTGATTGATGTCAGCGTTGGAGGGAGCCAGCGTGATCTTAGTGGCATCTGCGTGGTGTGGGCACAAAATCAAAGATAATTCAGATCAGAGCTGGTGGCAGGGCTGTGAACGGTCATGGCTCCAATTTGGCCTGCTAGATGTTTCTAGCAAAACACAATTAAACTTTTTTTTAATGACTGGATAAATCACTGTTAATGCCGTTTTTTTTGGGAGGAAATTCTTTTCTTTAAATATGTATTATTATTTCTCATAATCTGAGTGTGGCGGGGGGAGAGAGATACTGTGATGCGGGAAGTTTCTGGTACCATTTTGCATCAGTATAATAGAAGTTAATTTCGGCCTGTGGCACCATAGATATAGAAACACAGATACCTCATTGGCCTTTGCTGTATGCCATTGCTATAAGTCTGCGCAGTCGCCATATTGGGGAGGTCAAGTTGGCTAGTCAACAGTACTGATGGCAATACTGTGGCTATTCAGAAGACTATTTATTTGCTGCTGAAGTGACTAATCTATATTAGGAGTTAGAAATTAAGTGAGGAGTTGCACAGTTGATAAAGCATGCACGGATATTTAGTCTGTAACTAAGTAACTGAAATATCATTTATTTATCTATCCACTCTGGTTGACTTTTCCAAAAAGAAAACAAACAAGATCAAACACATGATTTGAATGAATTTTCTGAAAAGCACTGTGGTCAGAAAACTGTTGCTCACCGCTATCTAATACACACTAGCATTACAATCATGTACTTAAAGGGTTCCTATCAGCGCCCTAGTGATACAGAATCCAGCAGGTGATTGAAAAATCTCAGTGAATTTAAGATTATACAATCAAAAGGTAAAAAAAATAAATTATCACATTTCTTCCCATTTAAGAAGTCAAAATATCACAAATAACAAATAAAAAATCCCTCTCAGGTTTTCCTATTTAAATGTACCTCTGACAGACAGGTGTCCCGTGCTGTTGGCTTTGCCCAGGTAGTTCTCAGCAAAGCAGGTGTATTTCCCTTCGTCTGCCCTGCTGATGTTGTGGATCCACAAGATTCCGTCTGGAGTTACTGTGACTCTGAGGAGACACAGACATAGTACTGACTTGCGTTGTACAGGCCTTCTTGTTACTGCATCCACCTCCTGTGTGTCAGCTCTCACTTTATGTGGTGTAGCAGTGATAAAGTGTTTTGAATTTTGAGGTAAATATTCCCCCCACATGCTTTAACCTTTAGATATCTATTCCAGCTGCACCCTGCTGCACATTCATTTGGCTCCCCGCTCTGAAAAGTGAATGTTACTGGGAACACACATGTTCCCAGCTGGTCAACCAGCCGACAGCTCTAACATTCAGACTGCCGCTGTACAAGTAATCCGTTTCACTTTAGAATGAAGGAAAATTCAGCTTGATTACAACTTAGGTCTCAGTTTTGCTGCTTTATCCAGCATTCCTATCATTTTACTCTCTAACCTAACTGACGATAGAAGCTGGGACGTGGTGAGGCTACTAGGCAGAACTTTACAAGAGTGAAAAGAAACCATGTGAGTGATCAAGACAAATCCACAGCTTGACTTTGCCATTTTAAAACCAATTCTTTGGGAATTATAAGATGGTTGAAAGGTGAAAGCTGAAGACATTAGTTTGAAAAAATAACAGATGCTTCCATACAGGACAGGAGGGTTCCGAAAAAGGTTTGATGAGTTTGAAATTAAATCTAGGGTAACCATACTATGTGACAGCCTTAGGGTTGGCCTTATTCTGTTCCTCTTTCTTGGTTGTTTACTTTCTTTGTTTCAGGAAGTAAGGGGAGGAGCTGAGATTCCTCCCTGATGCAGCTCACCTGAGC